TAAATTCCAATTTATGGTAAAAACACTATTTAATGAACTTTCAAGGAACAAAAAAAAATTTTTTTTCTCTTTACTGTGTATCAGTTTTTATGGCTCTTAGAATTAAGGCAAGAAAAATCTATTTTTAGAACATCTTGAGATAATTTGAGTTGTCTCCCGCTGAAAGTTTAACAAATTTAAAAGTTTTATAATGGAAATGATTAACACTGTTCATATGTATATAAAATACACCATATCTTTTCCCAGAAATTTGTTTGTAAAAAAGTAAAGCTGTAAAGGTAACTGGTATTTTTCATGTGTTTTATAACATTTATGGCCATTTGCCAATGACAAACATAGATAGTGCTCATGTACACTATGCTGATCAGCAGATTTTGACCAAATTTACAGAAAAGTCTTACAATACCTTGAAATGAATAAATATAATAATAGGAAGTGAAATTGAGCACCTAACATGAATAGCTCTCTGCATGGTTTTCTCATAGACTCCCTCTTAAGATTTTGACTCAGACAATAGTATTTTTTCATTCTGACTAAATTTGTTTTAGTTTATACTTGATCAAATTGCTTATAGTCCGCCGGTTTTCAGATGACTTAAATAAGGTCATTTTAATAAATTCAGGGCCAATGACAGAAAAATAGTAAAACACCTGTCAGAGTTATGAATTTCTAAAATTTGTTTCAGATTGAGGGTTTGTCTTGACAAAGAGCCAAGGTTATTCTGTTAAAATCAAGGTCACTGACAGAAGAAATCTGTTCTCTTCCAGGTTATGAATTAGAAAGTGAAAATTATTGGAGGCTCTTACTTGAAACATAGATTACTTATGATTGAAGGTTGTGTCATGTTACCCTGATCAAAGGTCTTTCTGGCAAATCAAGGTCACTGAGAGAGAAAAAATGTTTAAGCATAACTTTGTAATTAAGATTCACTGGAGGCTCATGGTGAGAAGAAAAGATTGTTTACATAAGAAAGTGCATTAACCTTGACCCAAGGTCGGTACTTCCTGTCCACAGCTCCAACGGAAGACCTACTCGTTGCTTTGCAACGAGCTTGGCTCTAGTTTGTTTGTCTGTTTATTTGTTTGTCTGTTTATCTTTTATCTGTCTGTCTATTGTCAACTTCAACCTTCGCCATAACTTTTGAACCATTATGATAGAGACTTCATATTTGGTATACATAAATCACTAATTAACAATTTTAAAATGACTTCAGACCAAAGACCTTGTTACCTTGACTGTGACCTACATGCTAAAAAGGAATTAAAAATAATTTTTTCAAACCTTCGCCTTTGAACATTTAAACTATGAAAGATAGAAACCTCGTATTTCATATGCATACTCCACTTTAAGGTCTTGCAAAAAACACCAAGGTCAATGACCTTGTGACCTTGAATGTGACTTATATGCTAAAATAACTTTTTAGAACATACTTAAATTTACACTTAATGACGATGCTTATAGTTGAACATGTTTTACTATGATGACCTTGCTTAACTTCTGATTTTTAAAGATAGTGTATAAAATATTATTTACTTATAACCTCGCCCTCTCCTGGTGTCATAATTTCAACAAACTTGAAAATACACTTCGCTAAACAGCTGTCACATACATATAACCTTTTCCAGTCCCCTCGTTCACGAATTTTTTTGCAGAGGTAATTTGATTTTCCCAATTAGTAAAAATATCCCTTTGAAAGATTATTTGGTCTACATTTTTAGCTCACCTGGACTGAAAGCTCAAGTGAGCATTTTGGAACAAATTTTTTCCACTTTCCGTCTGTCTGACAGTCTATAAACTTTCAACATATTCGACTTTTTTTCAAGAACCATTGGTCCAATTTTTAACGAACGTTTTACAAAGCGTTCGTTGGTGAAGGGGAGTCAAAATTGTTAAAATAAAAGGTCAAGTCTTCCCAAAGTGGATATAATCAAGAAAAAAACTGAATAGGGTGGGGTCATGAAAAAATCTTCTCAAGAACAATTGGGCCAGAAGAGCTAGGAAAAACTGATACATGTACATGTATGGATGCATCGTGAGGTACAGTGTAGAATCAAAAATTTTCAAATCACGACCTCAGGGGTAGGACGGGGCCATGATAGGGAATCAAGTTTTTACATAGAAATATATAGGCAAAAGCGTTAAAAATCTTCTTTTCAAGAACCACTGTCTCAGAAAAGCTGAAGGTTATTAAGAAGCATCCTGTTGGGTCATGTTACACTTAACAATTCAATTTTTTTTAACTTTTAAGAGTTTTAAAATGTTAATTTATGAATTCAAATTTCTAAATTTCAAAACCTCAAACTGATTTCATACATTGAAATTTAATAATTTAGTTCAAAAATCAGAAATTTCCAAATAAGATTTGTGATAGAAAAATTTAAGGTAAAAATCTAAAAATTCAAAATGCTAAACCTGATTAAAAAATTTGAAAATTTAGGTTTTTGAATTAAAATATTAAATTCGAATATACCAAATCAGTTTGATTTTTTGAAATTTAGAAATTTAAACAATTATATTAACATTCTAAAACTCTAAATAATTTTAGAAAATTGAATTGTTAAGTGTTACACGGACCCTAAGGTAGTATAGATTCCAAATTATTGAAATCATGACCTCCGGAGGTAGGGCGGGGCCACAATATGGGAATTCAAGTTTTACATTGAAGTATTTGGGGAAAATATTCTTTTTCTTCGAGAACAAGTGGACTAAAAAAACTTAACCTTATGTGGAATTATCTTGGAGTAGTGTAGATTCTGAATTGTTAAATAATAACCAGCTAGGATTTTCAAGGTCAAGAAAGGTTGTACAAAGCAGGCAATCTGGTAAATGGCAGATTGGCCAAAGAGCGATGTCGCCCATGTAACATTTGTAGAAAAAAAATTCTTTATATAGTGATATACTTTATCTTAGTTTGTTTGCATGGGTACTCTTGGTAGAAGGGTAGATTGAAATTGTGAAAAGGGATAGAAGAAAAAACGACAACGACAGACCGTTGGCTTAGGTGAACTAGCTAAATGTAGTTACTCTTGGTAGAAGGGTAGATGAAATTGTGAAAAGGGTTAGAAGAAAAAAAAATGACGACAGACCTTTGGCTTAGGTGAACTATAGCTGAATGTAGTTACTCATAGTCCAATAGGTAACTATGAACTTGCAGTGACTGATTGAGATATTTTATTTTATATATTAAATTATTATACAATTATTGCATGATAGTGAGGGAGACATGAAGATTTCTTCGCCCATGAAAAATCATATTCCCCGAGCATGTCTCCCGAACATTCATGCAATAATTATTTTATTATACCGAATCAAGCACAATGCAGAGGATAAAGAGAATCCAATAAATAAAGTTAACATTTGATGAGAACAAAATGAATTACCAATAGGTGTAAGTCACACCACTAGCGTTTACTAAAAAATACTATTCATGACAAGTCATTCTGATTTACACACTGCAGTGTAGTAACATTCATTCCCCACTCATGGAAACACTTTTTCTAACTATTTATACTTTAAGATTTTATATCGACATAATTATTCAAAGATTTAAACAATAAAATTCAGTATACTAGTAAATCATCGCATTTGCCGCATTGTGACGTCACAATCGGGGAACACGACGTGAAACACGTTCTGTACACCTCAGTTGATTACATCTAGATGTAGGATAGCGTAGTCATGCGCGGTGAACCGAATGCGGGAAACACGAAGTTTTGTTGCAGGGCGAACACGACGGTCACGTGACTGCTTCAGCCAATCAGATTCCTTTTTACTAGTGTTTATTTATATGAGGTATAATAAAATCCTTTGTTCAACTGAGTGACTTTTATTTGAAACTACCTTAGAGTGTTTTCAATTTGATACTTAATGTTCCCTTGTTCTGAGTGAATAGAAGGTTTATTTTTCCACGTCTACATATTTCTATTTAAATCTGTCTCTGTCCTTTGTGGTCGTTTGGTAGGGAATGGACATTATTCGTTCTCAAAAATGTTTCACTTATATGGAGACGCCAAAACTTGCCTATGGAGAGCTGCAATTTTTTGTCGAATACTCGGATTTCAAGGCCATTGAGTAGGGAGGGATCGATCATTTTCGTGCCAGCACCTTCTGCGACACTGGACCTAGCTTTATAATGTCTTATCCAAAACACTGATCTCAACGTTTCATACTGGATTCCAACCCAGGACTTAGGGATCAACTTCATACGCTGCGACTCTAGAGCAGACGCTCTTACCACCGCACCACACAAGCGACCAGCACAGTGGTATGACAGGCACCTATTGAATAGATGGTGTAACCCCCCCTCCCAGGGTCTGAAATGTTCAGAAATAAACTAATATACAAAATATATGATATCCTCGCTTAGCACTCTTATGTTTCGATATCGGATATCATTCATTTTTCGCTTTTGTTGTATTTACAGATTAGTCCTATAAGTGTATAAAGGTATATTAAAAGTATATAAAGGTAGCATTGAGGTATTTAAGTGTGAGTGTTAGTAACTTGAACAATTGATATAGATGAGCTAAAACAAGATTTAATTTAATGTCATTAATTTTAAAGACTTTTTCAAACCGCACTTATTGTATAATAACATGAATAATATACTATGAAAAATACCAACATGAAGGTAAATATTATTTGATATTTTTATACCAATTAATGAGAAATGATATCATTATTCAAGCAAGCAATGCGTCAATGAATCTAATATGTAATAAGTAATAAGTTAACTTTAAATGAAATTGTCAATTTTATACAAAACATCATGCATTTACGTAATTAACAGTTTTATGAATTTATCACTTCAGCATACTATATACATTTTAAAAGTCGAATTAATTTATATTCATCAATAAATGCTAGGAAATGTTTAACACTTGTAGCTGTTTTATATAATCTAATCAATACATGCAACTTTAAAAAAAATTAAAAATAGGGTAAATGAACCTGCTACGTATTTTATAGAAAGAGCGTGTTACCGGTCGGTTGGTTTTTTTGTCCCCTTTTTAATGTTTATGAAGATTTTATCGTTATATTTTCCTTCTTACTTGGTTTTCTGTAAGCTTTGTTGTCGATGATGTAAATGTCCCAGTGTGGATGTAGACCTATACAGGATCTCACGATGTCAGGTTTGCCGTATCTCCTGAGCCACGTCACGTGATCTACACTGTCATGTGATCTTCCTCTGTAATGTAAAGTCGCCCCTTCTCTTCTGAGGTCTATAAGAAATTGTTTTCTTTTGTCTTCGCCGTTCTTTTGTATTTGGATTGAAATATTCACTGGCGAAGTAAATGAAAATAATGTATCATAACAAGTACAAAATTAAACCTGCGAGTGAAAATTATCAGAAACAAGATCGAATGTAAACCCGCTTTATATATTAGAATTACATGTATGTAATTAACAAATCTATACCTAGGTATACGCCTCTCAAATCAATATTTACAAAAGCCTCCCCCTTTCAAAAGGAAACATTAATTTCTGTATATCTGTATATTTTATATCTATCACTCTTTTGAATTGATAACTTCAGTCAGTTAAAAAATTATTTTCTATTTGAAAACGATTATCACATTTCTTTCAAAAGACTTACATCTCTGGTGTATCTCATCATATATATTCGTGTCCTCCATGGTGACGTGAGTCAGTATGTTCATCTGTAGACGGCGTATCAGTAAGGAATCACAGCCAAGACTACTGACACACTTCTCTCTAGGTTTTCTGTTGTATGTGTATGATCTAAGGTACACACTGGCTGTGTTATAACTACTGTAACAGAATAGTATATAACTGTATATCGATGCTATCTTATACATTGTCTCATCCTTTGTGTCCTCCGTTATCTTGTCTTTATTTTCCCAGAGGTAATCATGTGACTTCAGTCTGTCCAGAGTCTGCTGTGCTTCCTCACTTGTTACAGGATCATATTCATCGTACACCTCCCGTCGTATCTCATTAAGCAAGTCCAGCCACTCTGTGTCAGTGAAGTCAGGAGGACCGGAGTCAGAACACAGAAAACAGAATAACATGGACATCTCTTTTTTAGTCAGTCTGGAGAACTTATCTAAAACATTTAATGCAATAATGTTTATCATCTTTTCTAATTCATGATAAAACAAGGGCACCGCTAAGCGGAGCATCCCCTCGCGGCAGGAACATCACTAGTAATGGCAATGTGTCATTAGAAATAAATTCTCTAGAGTGACGTTTAACATGTTAAAGATTGATAGTACAACGTATCTTCTTCAATGTCCCTCTCATGAATAATTTGCTCATATGAAGGCTTGCCCGTGAAGAGCTGCTCATTTTTTCCTATAATAGGCACTGACGGCCATTGAGCAATGAGGGATCTTTTTGTACCAGCATCTACATGTATTGGGACATTGGCCCTTGGTTTACACGGTTTCATTCGAAGGACCAGTCTCTACCTCCCAGAGCGGGATTCAAACCCGCAACATTAGGATAAGCTCCCTTACTTTTGACAAAATAATTAGTGGAGAATTGTTGTTGATCCAATTTTTTTTTTTACAAAATGCGAAGTGCAACGCGTCTTGGGTAGAAGGGGGGACATAACATTGATACCTAAGGTTGGGAAGTAAAGTTTAATATAAGGTATAAAATAGTTTTTTCAGCTCTATTTATTTCCTTAACAAAATTATAAAGGGTGGGGTGTCTATTTTGAACAAAAATCAAATTGCATAACATTTAAGTTGGGAGAGGTGGGGGCATAATATGCGTACGTGATTGGGCAGTTTCCCTTATACCTAGTAGAAACATATCACGCATGCTACATGTACAAGTTTCAGTAATTTTAATTATTTACCTACCTAATTAGTATATTTCACAGTTCTAGGCAAAATGCATTTTTTTCGTAGTGAAAAAAAACAACGTACATCGAGAGTTTATTTGAACTTGTGGCATAGGCGTCAAAACTGGGGTAGGGGGGTGGGGGGGGGGGGCTCACACTTTTTTTTCAAATATAGACAATTTCTACATGTATGCATTGAAAATTGGGGTTTACCTTTGTTGTTGGTTTATCCCCCCACCCAACACACATACACGCTTTCTGCTTCAATTTAACGTGCAGCCGTAATTCCCAGACACTGTTGGAATTTTGTAATGAAACCGCGACGTTCATCAAAATTCTTTTAATCGGGTTCCCACAGACTCGAAACAGCTTTTAAACTGGTTACCTAGGTGGCAGAGGATAGTTTTTTTGCAATCAAAACGTTTCACTGACGGTTTACTTAATATTGAGCTGATTTTAAAATGTGCATTGAAAAATTTTAAATTCCCTCTACATGTAATAATAGTATGATGTAGTCCCTTGAGAAATTTGAAGCTTTTAGGAATAAAACATGTAAAACTTACACAATGAGCCCTAAAGATGGTGCAGGGATAATGTCAAAATTTCATGTAAATCAAGCCTATTTTCACTATTTCGCCGCAGCCGCATCTGCTTCCAGGCCCGTGCTAATGACCTAAGCTACCACACAAATTACAGAATAACATTTGTACATACCAATGAACAGCAAGAAATATGGGCTCAACCACCTCGTTTTCAAACTACAACTCATCCTGTGAACCCACCCCTCTTTTCTGGTGAAATACCGGTAGAGCGAGTTTTGAGCATAGTTTCGTATTTCTAGTCCATATCCCCTATACAGTTGTAGTGACACTAAAGTATTATTTTCAAAACCGGCTTATTATTAAATCCGTCTTATTTTCAAGATTTTAGGGTATGAAATCAATATGATTAACTTCTTCAAACATCATGCAGAGAGCTATGTCGAAGGGATGCGGTATTAAACGAAGATTTCCTCATTATATATTTAACCGATGCATGAATTTCTTACTATTTAGAAAGGGACTCGTGTTTCCAGGAAGAGGTCCAGGTCACTTCATTTAAAGTCATATGCGCTATATGAACGCAGAATTTCGTGTGAAACAAAATGATTCATGAATTAAAAAACATGAAGTGTAATGAAAAATAATACTTTCCACAAAACTGTATTATAGATGTCGTTGTAATAACAAAACAATTAAACAATATCTAGGAATAAAGAACTCAGTCTTTTCATGAATATTGAAGAAGGAAGTGCGTAAACAGTTGGCTTAAATATAGAAACACATGTCCTCGGGAAATCACAGACAACGAGGTATGTTGCATTTTGACAACAATTATTAATATAAAGTTAATATGCATAATAACAGAGAAGATGGTTGATACTGAAAATACATTAAAAGATAAATATCATTTAGTAGGACGCTTGCTATCCACGTCAAAAGTGAGTAGTATCTCAAACGGCCTACCTTGTTTTCTTTACGCCACTTGTGTTTATCAATCTAAAAGTAGCGACGGCGTCACCTGATTGATTTATTTAAAAATAGCTATTTTTCTTTCCTTGCAGGATAATAAAGAATAATAATTTCAATTGATAACTTTGTAACACGTTTAATTTTAATGGTGTAATTTACAGCATTTTCCTAACTTTTATTAATAAACAAATTCTATCAATTTCCAGTCGTATTTTAACTGGCGCAATTTATAGCGTGTATACTTTTAACTATAGTGAGAAGCTGATCCAAAATAACAGCCAATAACCCCCCCCCCTCCCCTAATCGTGGGTAAAGTATATATGCATGTTTACTGTCAGTTGTTTTACGTTCCAAAACTATAGAGTGGTAATTAAGCTTAGATGTTTGGTTTTTTTATGAAAATGACAAACGATTATGTTATAGCTTAAGAGCGTGTCTCAGAGAAAAACATGCAAAATGATCCAGTAGCAAGATTCTCCAATTGCCTTCAAATTTTGCAAGCTAAATCTAGCATGCATGAATGGAAATCAGACAAATTTTTATTGTGCTAATCATACCGGTATACATTATATAACCTGTTACTAAAAATGGCTCTTATGCAACAAAATCTCAGGTCATATTTTTTATAGTTTTTTGTCATATTTGGATAGGAAATAAAGCTGCAACATCCAAAATCATTAAGATATTTTATTTTGAAGTTAAAGAACAATGGTTGGTACTTTTTAAATGCATAGTAAAAATGATTGACATCCATCATGTTTTAGTGCAAAAGGGTCATAAAATTGGCACTGTTCCAATTTTTTGAAAAAATGTCAATTTTCTATATAATTGATATCACAATAACAACCATAATAATGATTATAATCTAGAAAATTTTACTGCTTATGTTAAGGATTTTAATCTGAACAAAATATAAAAAAAACTGCTGACGGCAAATTTAAACTTTAGTTTATATTGAATGACTAACAAAGTTATATTTTCACATCAAAGATATCAAGAAAACAAAAAGTGTTGTGTATGAAATACTTTAAAAGTTTTCCAAATATATTTTTTAAATGTTTTCTTTGGTATTATTCATATCTGTATTTTAGAAATTAAACATAATAATCACAGTTTAATAGATAACACCTCTTTAATTCATAATAATCCATCAGAAGGGGGGGGAGGGGTTACACGCAATATTATAAGTCCCCTCTTATTTAAATTAAAACATTGGGGAAAACCTAATCGTAAATGTTTTCAGTTAACAAAACCGACAATCTCAAAAAAATCAATATGTTTAATTATTTTTCAACATTCTCTTGAATATTATATGATAGCTCTCCTTTGATTTCAATAAGCAAGTGCAAAAACGTCAAAATCAGCATTGTGATCTCTAATTCCACAATGTACGGTAAATACTACATGTATATCATGTACATAATGTTAGTAACAGTGAACACACTTATAATGAATTCATGCTTCTTGTAGTTATTTTCATTCCCTGTTAATTCCAAAACATATTAGGAACTACTGTACACATCTATTAGGAGCTAATTCTTTTAATATGATTGATACTTTCTTTGATACATCATATTGTGATGTAGACAAGTTAAGTAACAATGTTTGTATATATTTAAAAAAAATTCTCTGTTCCATCAAATTGCAAATTTGTTACAACCAGAATTAAATTATAACATTTTATTGTACATGTTGTACATGAAAATTTTGATCATAATGTCTGAATGTCAAAATTAATTCTACGTTCAGTATATTGGGACCTTTCATCTCAAAACATGTATGCTTATATAAATTTATTGAATATTTACAGAAGTACACACATCATTTACCAACCCAATCATTTAAACAACATATTCATTTGAGCCAAAAGCAGAAACAATCTCTGCAAGTTTTTCATCTTCATCAATACAAACATCTTCAAAACATCTTTCAGACTACAATTGATTTTTGATAGAGGGAGGTACAGAGACACTCTAAGATTTTATTGACAAATATGAGGCAATATATCCTCTTACTTGTGAAATACTTAGCCAATTGTCTTCCCTTAAAAGTCTATCACCATTTTTATCAGTTTCTTTCTTCAGATTATCTGCCAATGAGATACTATCTGGGCATTTTTTTTGTTCTTTCACATTCTTCACATATCATGCACAAGCAGTCCTTTTCTTTTTGGGAGAATTGTATTGCTTTTTTTCTGCACTCTACTGCCAACACCCTGCTTTCTCCTGTTGGCTTTCTCTGGACTCCATCATCAACTCTACCTGATTTGACTCTTTGTATCAATAATTTTTTAGACTCTCTAATGCTTTCACATTTTGTAGCATACATATTTGCTGCAGTGTTCATACTTGATCTTGAGTTTCTGTAACAGTAATAGTGATTTCCAACTGCCAGAAGATTTTCGAGATTGCAAAATTTTGCAAATACTTTCTGTTATTGATGAGACCGGACAGAGGAAATACATCTATTGTTCAGTATTAATCTCTGTGCTTCTAGCAGAACTTCATCTGTAAACTGCTTCATCTTTCCCTTGATCAGTCAGCTCAAGGTGTTGGGTATATAAAACAGTTCCTTTCCTGTGATCCTCTTCTTTTAGAAAACCCTGTATTAAATGTAATATGAATTAAAATGCACCGTAAAGAATTAACCATAGTTAGATGAAGGTGGTGATATATTCAAAGACCAATTTATAAATGTACTTTTCAAAGAGATAGGATGAATAAATATGGTTTTGGAAAACAAACCACTTTCAGTACTTCTATGATCTCGTACTGAATCATGAAAAAAGTGCCCCAGTGCTTTTAGAACAAATTTAAGAACTGACCTCTTTGGAAAAAAACTTTTACTTTGACTTAACCATGTTTACCCACCACAATCCCAATGTATCATATGTCATGACATGTGACTTTTGTAAACGGTTAAATTGCAAATTATTAGATAAATGTATCGTTTTTTTTATTTGGATGAACGGTGTTGCGATGTTTAATAAAAATACAAATTTCTATGAAATACTTTCAAAAGGCTATTCTAAATACAATTTTAGTCTGATTATAATATAACGTGGCATGTAAATAGACTACACAGAAATTTTGTTTATTTGATATATAGATGAATGATTTTGTCACAGTAACTAAAACTGAAAATTTTGTAAAATTTAATTAAAAGCTGCCCCTACAGTTGTGGTTTTATTGCAAGCTTGCCACAGAAGAGGCTTTATCAAGGATCATTATTCTATTTATTGCAATTGTAAACAAGACCAAACTGCTACTTCTTCCTTTGTCTATTTTGCTATAAGTACATACCAATAAAGCTATAGTCTCAATAGAGACTTTTGGTTTGTTTTGTTACATGTATGTTGCACTATTACAAAGTATCATAATATAAACAAGAGGCCCAGGGGCCACATCGTTCACCTGAGCAATTGGCTAGGAAAAAGCACATATCAGATCAGAACTGAAAGTTTACTGGGATGGAGGGGGCTTGAATTTTAACCCCCCAGGGGGTCATGGTTGGAATACACTTGAATCTACACTACCTGAGGATGATTCCACATGAGTTTAATCTTTCCTGGCCCGGTGGTTCTTGAGAAGGAGATTTTGTAAAGATTTTTCCTATATATTCCTATGTAAAACTTTGATCAGCCATTTTGGCCTAATCCAACCCCCTGGGGTCATGATTTTACCAACTTTGAATCTACACTACCTGAGGATGATTCCACATCAATATCATCTTTCCTGGCCCAGTGGTTCTTGAGAAGAAGAATTTTTTTTTAAATGCCATTATTTTTTTCTCTTATTCATGATTATCTCCCCTTGGAAAAGGGCGTGGACCTTCATTTGAACAAACTTGAATCCCCTAATACCACAGGATACATTGTAGCAAGTTTGGTTGAATTTGACCCAGTGGTTCTCGAAAAGAAGATGAAAATGTGAAAAGTTTACGACAACAACGACAATGGACAAATCATGATCAGAAAAGCTCACTTGAGCCTTTGGCTCAGGTGAGCTAACAAGTATTACTATAAATTATAATTATATATTTTGGCCAGTTCTTTTAAAATCAACTGGGCAGTGGGATTGAGTTATTAAGTATTGAGTTATTAAAAAATCAAGGTGATTGTCTAAGTGACCAGTGAAAAATATAAACTTTCTATACCTACACTATACCATGTGAATTTGGTTCAGGGTTTTCTCTTCTGATTTGGTTGGGTCCAATTAATAATGCTGCACATGGACAACTTTTGCTATAAAAAAGAATTTTAATCAATTGTAAATAATGTATAATTCAAGAGAGGAATTATAAAAGATATGGGAGATGTTTAAAATCTCTATAATGCACCAGCTGTACTAGCTATCATATACTGTTTAGAACATGTACATGCTAAAATTTTCAGTATAAACATTTATTTATTTTGAGTGGCAGTATATTTTTATGATCTTTTATCAATCAATATTCTTGATTTTCAAAATATCATCAATTTGAAAAAAATTTATGCACAATTTAATTTTGTATAAATCTTTATGTAATCATGGTGATGAAATATTTGTGTGATCATCTAAATTTTAGAAATCGTCCTGGCATGTAAAATATACCCATTTCCTCTTCTAAAACTACTGTCACACTCCTTGGTCCAAACAGCCTATGAGAAGCACACTGCTTGCACAATTCTTCAATTTTATAGAACTTGTATATTACAAGTATTTCTCAGTTTTCTAAAAAAAAAAAAAAAAAAAAACAGAAGATCAAACAATTGTTTAATCTGATCCGAGTTTATACCACCTGTCCTACTCCCCGATCACAACCAATTATAAAATAGAGAACAAATACATTCATTATTTTAACTTCCAACTGAAAATTTTTATGTCCTACCTGATCAAACCGGTACATGTTTAATGTCTCTCGTTTTCAACCAGCATTTTTTACAAAAGGTAGGGGTAGACCATCGGTCTGCTTTTGCTTTCTTCCTTATGACCGGGACAGCAGCACTTTGATTTACTTCTTCGCAATTCTATTCCTTAATTGTCTTTGACATAATCTTAATTTTAATGTGCTAGTAGAGTCAATGGAAAAAAATACCATTTTCGCCTACAGCATGCAGGAAAACGATTGCCTCTGGTACCAGGTCCAGTGCAATCAGTACATTTATCTATGTAGGTAAATTACCTACGTAGCTTATTTACCTACCTCGGGTAGCTTTATTTAGCTATTTCAATGTAACTTTTCTTTTTATGGAAAAGAGACAAAAAATCGCAGTTAAATGACTATTGATATTTATACTAGGGAGACTTTAAAAAACATTCCAAAGCAGAGATAGTTTAAACATCGCTGTTTTTGGTCCGTTTAGAGCAAAACATGTAATTCCATTGTTTGGTTATCTGTCCGTGCGGTGAGGCATGACTGAGTATGATTACTTCACATTGTGCTGAATAATTATCGACCTCTTATCATGTTAACCAGAACTGGACTTCTTTGTCATTTCACTCAAAGAGTAACTGTTCTAACTGTCATACATAGCCCCAAAACTTTCAAAACTTTGATTGCAATTGCGCAGAAAAAGACATTTCTTCAAGAGGGAATTTTTCATGAATTGTTTTCAGATGAGTTCAAAGTTGAAAATGATCACTGCATCAAAATGATAGTTTTTGCTCATCCTGAGAAAAATGCTTTGTTTTAGAAAGAAATTCATCTGGTAGCTAAATCAAGCTACCTGAGGTAGGTAAATTAAGCTACGTAGGTAATTCTACCTACGTAGTTAAATGTACTGATTGTACTGGACCTGGGTACGTCAGAAATTTTCCATACAACCCAGCTAGGGTATGTTCAGAGATTGGAGAAAACGCAAATGGTTTGAGAGATCCTAGTATATTCTTATAAATGAATTCATGGGGCCATCACTGCTTGAAATGTTTGAAAAATTGCTGAAATCACATTAGTCTTCTCAGACTTCTGTCCCTGCCATGTTGCAAAATCATTTTCCCCCTTTTATGTATGGAATGTTCCACTACGGGAGATAACTCTTCAACATATAAATAACACTCATTTTATTCTTTCTGTATCAATTTTGGTGAATATTTTTAAACTTTCATGAAGGTTTTAATTTTGATTGTCTTTCTCAGCATTTATTTACACTAAAATAAAATTATTAATCATCAGTTGAAGCAATATTCATTACATTTGAACAATTTTAAAATACAAATGTAGAGCTTGGCTAACATCGTAAGGTCATCACTTCCACCAATTATTATTATTTGTCCTATTAAAAGCCACCAGAGAATGTTTTATATTTGATAGAACATAAATAAATGATTATAAAGCAAATTATTAGATCAAATTATTTTCACCATTTAAGCTGTACCATTGCACTAAACAAATATAATAAATCTAAAGTTCTAAATTTAGCCTTATTCGCGGCTCGATCATAGAATACATATAGATGCAATCATTGTGAAAAATAAATATTTTTCATCTTTGACATATATGTATTGCAAAAAATTTTCAATTGATTTTGCAAGGTCTCAAACTTACATATTTGCACCTACTATTTTATGTCATTTTATGCTAAATATAGAAACGGGACTGTTACTTAAAATAGCAACACGTGGCACACTTTCTAAATTTAAATTTTAGATCCTCAGACAACCTAGACCTTAAAAATATATGATACAATGAAAAGTAATGTAGATTCTTCCGGACTATTTTTCGGATTTTGCATGTTTTTCTCTGAGACACGCTCTTAATGACATCAACACTTAACGCTATTTTTAAAAAATGCTTAACGAGTAATAACAGTATTTGATCTTTCTAAAAGGTGGAAAATTATGAACTCATGCTCGTTTCAATTAAATTACAGAGAAATTAATCCATTCTAAAATTTATGTTCTCATCGTACATCAATACTCACCTGATATCTTTGTCCTCCATACTTTATGATCACCTAGCCATGGTTCTGAGGAAGAAAAATATATTTTAATGTTTAAACCATTTATTAAAAAACTTACTACGGCTTTATTTCCTTAAAGTCATCTTCCCTTAAATAAATGTTCAACCATTGAATTAAGATTCTTACATGTACCACCACGCCGGTTTTGTATTGTATTCCCTAAATTCATATTCCCAATGGAAACCTGTCCTTATAAAGTCCAAAAGCCTCAATACATGATTATAAAATAATTTTCTTTTCCGTAAAAAAAAAATACTGTATGGTTATTAAGTCCCGACAAAGATTTACACTTTGGTAGATTTCGTCAATATCTCCCTTTCTGGTGATAAGTTAACATGTGATCCTTTGTACAAAAATGTTCTATTTAAGAGGCAGTCCACCGAAAAAAACTAGGCAATGGGTGGCTCTTCACATGTCATGGATTTTAATTATTTTTTGCATGTAGACTTATTAAAGCAAGTGTTTACCCATGACAACATAAACGTTTCTTGTGCTCCTCTACTCCCACAGTGTACTTTTGGAAAATGCTCCGTTTAAAGTGCAAAAGGGTTAACAAGGGGTAAACGATATTGTTAGTTTTTATTTTTTTTTTTAATTTATCTATTCACATCAATTTTACAATATAATACACTGAATTTATGTATCTGTGTTTCTGAATAGAAAGGGGGATGAAGGGGAGAAAGAGGAGAAGCAGAGAGAGTGAGAGAGTTAATAAAAAAGTTGTTCCATCTGTTCCACTGGGTATCTAATTTTTTTTACCACTAATTCTATCAACGACAAACAGGTCTTGGCGGTCTCCGTTTTTGGAGGATAGCTAGATTCAATATGGCAGCCAAATTTTTTCACCATATATGGAAACTGCAATGCAATTTCGGATAGCTCATCTTCTGATTTCAGAGGATAACACAGGTAATTTTCAAACGCCTCGTGCCTACCTTTTATCAAAAAGTACAAGCACCAGAGTACAATTGAGTAAACGTTAAAACATTAAAATGTCGATTGTATGTGGCGATTTGAGATTCTATATCTAGAATTTTTACAATACGCTCTCAAAGTTGGCACTTCTTGCGCTTCATTTTTTCTTCATGTTTCTCGATTTTTTCTTTATTTCTTATGTTTTTCCCTATCAGGACAAATAAAGAGGCACTTGAATGCTCACACAACACGTAAATAACATTACTTTCATAGTTTCTTTCAATTAAAAATTAGAGAAAACGGAAACACAGAAGAAAACGTACTGTAAAGACAAAATACATCCTGTCCGATAATTTAAGCAAAGATAAAATAAATATTATTTAGAGAAAGAAGAGAAAAAATTCAATTCTTAGCTGTGCAGCACCAAAACTTCCACTAGAGTTCCTATATGAGGCCTCGACAGGGAGTGTGCATCCGCAGTATATATATTTCCACGGACAACGTAAGTTTCAGTCAGGTAAGTGTTGACACAGAGTATATAAACGTAATTGAATTTAAGTCAGTAATAACTGATATGACCGCAATCGTCATAGTCTAACCTCGCTGTAGATGGAGATTAATCTCAATTTATTTCAGGGGTCTTATTTTTCAGTTTAATTAGATACACATACAGGCGTTACAGACAGTTCTTCGATGGACTTTGGTGTCACGGATTTTTATTTGATTTAAACATATTTTATTGTTTAACACAAAAGGATCAGAAACAAGTTCTTACAACTTACAAGTTCTTCTCCTGGTGTTAGTATAGTTGATACAGTTATTACAGTTGTCATAATAATAACATAATCATTATAAAGTATATAATATTGACAAGTAACATAAATTAATTGAAATGTTAATTAAATCTTCCAGATTCATTGATAAATTTATGAACTGCTGAAAATATAAGACAGTTCATGTCATAAGATAGAGTGTCATTACCCCATAACAACAGATGTTTGTCTATTAGAATCGATTCGTCTAGTTTGAAAAGTTTGTCAAAAAGATTATTTCGTGCTCTTACATATCTTTTACAAACAAAGAAAAAATGATATACATCCTCATTCTGACCACAAATACATTTAGGAGATTCAATAATATTCCTTCTATAAAGGTCATAATTTAGTAAACAGTTGTGTCTTAATTTAGTGTGTATAATATTGATAATACGCTTGCCAAACGAAAAATATTTCGGGGGCTTAGTGATTATATCGGTGATATTCTTTTTAAAAGTGTTAATAGATGTTGCTTCTCTGACTTCTAATTTCAATGAGTTCCATTTACGAACAGTGTCGGGTGCAAAGGATTTTTTGTACAGTTCTAATCTACTGATTGGTATTTTGTAATCTTCACTGTTCCGAGTAATGTGCGAAGAAACATTTTTTTACTTAAGGGGGGAATAATACTGCTTAAGTACTCAGGTACTTGATTATTGTGAATTTTGTACATAGTTATAAACTTAGCAGTATGTCGACGTTTGTCTAAAGGTTCCCATCCTGTCTCTAAGTAGAGAGATTCTTTTGATGATAAAATTGGTAAACCTGTAACTATTCTTGCGGCACTTAACTGAACCTTTTCTAACCTAGCTATCCATATCAGATAAAGTACAACCGTCCCATACGACAGACGCATATTCAAGGGTTGGTCTAATAAATGTAATATACATTTTAGATAAATTTTTCCTGCCAAGGGTAAATTTAAGTTTTTTTAAGAGGCCTAATTTTTTGTATGCATTGCTTACAATATTGCTTATATGTTCAGACCAGCCCAAATCTTCAGAAAAAAGCAAACCAAGATTACGATGGGTCGTGACATAATCCAGTTGACTCCCTTGAAAATATAATTTGGGATATTCTTCCACATATTTCTTTGTAAAAAATACAACTGTTGTTTTTGACGGATTAAATTTCAATAACCATTTATCTGACCAGTCACTCAGTATTTTCAGATCATGATTCAAGACAATTTCTATGTTTCTAATATACAAATCAGAATGTTGTAATGAGTTATTGTCAGCGAACAATCTTCATATTGATAACATATTAGTTGCTACATCATTAATGTAAATAAGAAATAAAAGTGGTCCTAACAATGATCCTTGAGGCACTCCAGCATTGGTGTGTAAAATTGACGAAAGCTTATCTTTAAACATTACCCTTTGAGATCTGTCACATAGATAACTTGTAAACCATTGTAGAAGATTTCCATTTTTATTGTGTTATTCAAATGCGACATTAAAAACAAAGTGAAATAGATGTAACGTTACGACAGTCGTCAGCGATAAACACCCCTAACGTGTCACTAAAGGAAATAATAAAGAAACTGATTTTTTCAAACATATGTTTTTTTTTTAACTTTTATACTGTTAACACATAAATATGGTACCAGAAAATGAGCCTGGCTATAATTGATTTTAAAGGTACTTGGACACAGATTTGAAGTTATTATTTTCTCTATAATATTACGACTTATATATTTTCATAGCATTACACACAAAAATTAATTAAAAATCTTATTTCGTTAAAAAGATATTGAAATTTCAAAATTTTCGGCGGGTTTGATTAACATATCCTTGCACTCTAACAAATTCTCTAATGGCAATCTCGTTTTGTATAAATGACAAATATTAATACTTTAATCTGGAAAATTCAGAGTAGACACGTTCGAAAGCAAAACAAACGCACAATATATTGTCAGTCCGTGCAGTTGCGGTAAGCAGACTGTGACGATTTAACGCACCCGGTGAATTCTTGTTGTGAGGTGTGTTGTATTTGTATTGTTTCATCGTGTCTATTATTAGTAACATTAAGTTTCTTGAACATTCCAGAGTGGTCAATATGTTTAGTCATTTTTTCTAGAACATTCTTGAACTTTATTCATGTCCAGAACTTTCCAGGAATATCATGTACTTACAATTTCTAGAATATTCTAGATTTATATTACTGTATAAATATCCTGTCAATTCGATGCATAGATACAATTGTCGTAGAAGCATCATTGAGGTATTACTGGGATATTATTTCGCTGGGACATTGTGTGCAGCAACGGACACTCTGATGTATGTATTTTTAGATTTTTGCTAAGTTTGTACTTAAGGATTTGTATATTACTGTAAATAAATTATTGTTAAGTTTAAACTGTGTGATTGATCTTTGCTGGCATTTAGGGTTATTCTGACCCATACAGAAGATGAAATGCTCCCATTAAGCTTGACTTAATGGTAGCTTATAGGTGCTTAATGGTGGCTTAAAGACCGCATTTAAACCACCATTAAGCCACCATTAAGCACCTATAAGCCACCAATAATCTTCCATTTAGTAACCATTAAGCCACCATTAAGCCAAATTTCTAACTTAATGGTAGCTTAATGGTGGCTTAATGGTTACTTAATGGTGGCTTACAGGTCCTTAATGGTTACTTTTAGACCACCATTAAGTCACCATTAAGCCCCCATTAAGGTAGACTTACAGGTGCTTAATGTCCAAACTCCATTAAGCTACCATTAAGCTACCATTAAGCAACCATTAAGCCACCATTAATTCACATTACACCGTCGATAATATTGTTTATATGGGTGAAAAATTATTTTTGGAGTGATTTGTTATCAATATTATAAATGATTAGTTTTCAGATATCTTGATTTGTTAAATATATAGGGAAAAAAACGAAATTCAAATTAAAAAAAAAAAGTCGCCAACGTTGGGGCGCGATCCCGTGACCTTCTGTTTTCAAGGCGAACGCCTTATCCATTAGGCTATTGCCGCTCTTGTAAATAATGGAAAAAATTCAATATTTAACTTTATTTTTTTTTCTAAATTTGTTTGGACTAAGAAAAATATTTAGTAGTATTTTGTTGAACGTTTCCAAAAGTTTTGAATTAATTTATTAATGAATATAAAAAAAACAATATTATTTGTGGATTTTTTTGAAAGGCTTATATCACATTTATATATCTTCATTGAGTTCGACTTTTAGATTGATGTGATTTGATGGAGTTTTTCGCCGAAAAATTTATACATGTAAGCATTAAATCATGATTGAAAATAAATT